TAGCATCGTAAGTCCGTAAATTATCACCGACTTACGAGTGTACTCCTATGTGACTTGTAGTGTTATGTGTTCCGTTAAGCATTCACAGTTTAGTGCTGGTGAGTGCAGTGAACAACAGCTGTAGTAAGTACCAATGTTGTTGTTTTATAAGAGTAGCAATAATACCAATATTTCTTGTGTATTATAGAAACTTAAAACCCATATTATCTCGTTAATTTTGTAGCATTATGGTGCAATTTTCAGAAATTTAATACAGTGATGTACGCACTGAAGATAAGTTTGTCCAGAATTTCTCTAAAAACAGGAAACTTAACTCCCCCATAGGCACGTGTTGAGAAAAAAAAAGTTACTTATTGATAAATAAGTACTCTTCGTTATTTTAAAGGGCTATTGCCTACCTCAGGGCTGCCAATTCCCAAAATATCTCCTTCGAACAAGTCGGTATTCTGCAAGGCCAATTTTGGAAGTGGGATAACATCTGTTGAGATACATATAAATAGATTATTGATGAGATACATTAAGATATGTAAGTATCAATAAGGACTCAATTGTTAAATAAAAAGAAGTTATGAAACTCACGTGCTGCGACAGCAGAGGTCAACAGCAATGTAATACTCATCAGTTTCATGACCAGCGATTTAACGGACACAACTAGCGTGGAGCGATAATGTCCGAGCTCCTTAAATACCATTTGATCGATGGTGGGAAGAGAACCTGAAAGTCAGGTGTAGATAAGATAAAGAAAAATGTGACGTAATAGCATTCATTTTTCTTTACTATAATAGTTTTTTTGTTTTTAATCTGAATAACACAACCTTGCGAGAACGTCACCAAGATGATCGCATGCAGATTTTGTACAACATCAGAGGAAACATAATTGTATGTAGATTTTTTTTCGAGTCGGCCTGGCATGGCCCTGTAATTAGGGCGCTCGACCTGCAATCTGTGGGTCGCGGGTTTGAATCCCCGTCACCGAACATGCTCGACTTTTGAACCGTGTGTACGTTATAATGTGACGGTCAATTCCACTATTCGTTGGTGAAAGAGTTGGCGGCAGGTGGTGTTGACTAGTTACCTCCCCTCTAGTCTATCACTGTTAAATTAGAGACGGATAGCCCTCGAGTAGCTTTTCGAAATTAAAAACAAAGCAAACTATCTTCCAATCACTTATTTATTACATTCCGTGCTGCACTATTTGATATAAACGCTAATTACAAATTCTATTTATTTTGTTTTCTTGAGTTTAAAATATCATTCTCGTCAGTATTTCTTTTGCTGTAACTTTGAATTATTTATTGGTGTTTAATTGTGATTGATCAGAACTTTGACCAGTGCATGCGACATTATCTCCTCAACAAGGAAAATGTTACGTTCCCTTGCGCCTTTCGTACATCTGAATTCTATATACATATCGTAGAAACATTGATATCACAATGGAGGGATTTAAGCTTAGGTAAATACTGGCCGACTCCAAACTAGTTGGGATTAATGTCGTAACGGGGGGGGGGGGGATTCAATGTCATAGAATGTTGTATCTGTACTTCACGAATGACAAAATTAAGGAAAAATTTGTCTATGGTTTTGCTTCTTTGTTTTTAAGAGCAAAATCACTAGGCTTTTTGCTGTGTCCACCGCGGGGGATCAAACCCCGGACTTTAGCGTTGTAATTCTGTAGACTGCCTCACAGAGAGGACGTCTAGGGTGTTATTTTTTTACTATAAAAGCGAAATGATATAAATAGCATATGAGAGATAATGATTTGTAACTACTAGAATAGCGTTGTCTTCTAGGATGTAGTTAACAGCTGAACTACAGACGTGGGAAAAAACGTGTTGATTTCTCAAGACTTTCAATGATAATAGGGAGATTTCCCGACAGCTGTTAACCAGAAAAAATATCAACTACAAAAGTTAAGACACTATGAGTTCTACCATCTCTTCTTAATTTGACGTATTAAATATTAAAATAGAATCTTTCATATCGATCGGTCGTGAGGTAGTAATTCCAAGGTTCGAACCCGTGATATGCTGTTGAAAACTCTCTGCACTTTCGTCTATGGGCAGTTTATAAATGTGAAAGTCAACTCCACTATTCAGTTAAGTGGATCCGTTAGGCGACAGATATCTGGTGACTGGTTATCTTCCCTTTAGTCAACAGTTTTATTGTAAATACCAAACGCGGTACGTTTCTAATTAGTTAGGGTTAGTGAGTATATTATTTTGACTCTTAATTCAAGCACTTTCGAAGATTGATCCTGTCTTTTTCGAGCATTGTGAACTTTTCGGAGATTAAGAACAAAATATTTTTAAGAGAGAATATATTAACTCGCACAAACAGGGTTAATAATTTTGATCTACTTAAATTACTCTTGTCAGACCAACTAAATTAGTAACTTAGATTCTTCTCTTTAAAGTTAAATGTGACAAGGAAAGTTAAATGTGTATTTCATCGTTAGCGAACAAAAAATTAAAGAAAATAAATCCTGCTGTCTTAATGTTTACACCATTGTATTGACAAGTTAAGACTACAGTTTTATACGTTGATAAATAAATTTTGTAGGTCTGGCTTCACAAATTTGTATCACCTACTCATTACAGCCATAATAAGCTATAAAATAATATATTAGTATATTATGTTTATTGATTATTATCAACATATATATAGGGCCCGGCATGGCCAGGTGGTTAGGGCGCTCGACTCGCAACCTGCGGGTTCGAATCCCCGTCGCACCAAACATGCTCGCCCCTTTCAGCCGTAGGGGCGTTATAATGTGACGGTCAGTCCCACTATTCGTTGGTAAAATAGTAGCCCAAGAGTTGGCGGTGGGTGGTGATGACTAGCTGCCTTCCC